ATTTTCTTAAAATAATCAAATTATCCTTCTTTTTATAAATTTTTATATTATATTAGAGCTTACACATTACTTTATTTTAATTTGACTTTTGGATTTATTAAGTTATTTAAAACAAAAGAAAAAATCATAGATGCTATACTTCACAGAAGTGAGAATAGATTTGCAAAGATTGCAAATTTTTATGAACTTATCAACACTCTTAGGATAGAAATTTTATGCATAACCAGTGCCAACTATGGAAATACTAATCTTATGCCAATAGAAGAAGTTCAAAGTTTGAGTGAAGAAGTTGTATGATTAAAAGAAGCAAATAAATCAACCTTACAATGAAATCTATGAAGTTTTATTTCCTACAAGTAAGATGGGGACAAGAATTAGTATGTCTCAAAAGTTTGATGGAAGAAAATCAAAATTTTAAGGATTTCTGCAACAAGTCTAGCTCTATTTAAGATTGCATTTCTTCTAATGTCCTAATGGATTTACTCAAGTTGAATTCATAGGTGCACTTCTATTTGGAATTACTCTCTTTTGGTTTATATCCTTGATGGAAAAATATTCATGACTCTTTTTTCATTTTAATTTATTTTTAAAAATATTTATAGCCACATTTAAAAAAAGTGATTAAAAAGAAGTAGTAGATATCAAATTTCTATTTTTATAATAAAGATTATAGCCAGCCACTATATATGCTATTAAATTTCAAAACTTGACTTGTAATATGGACCAGAATGATAAAGCCCTTATTAATCAATTTTGATATGGATTAAAGAATAATGTCAAAGATTTATTTTTGACAATTCAAAAAGCAAAATCTTTAAAATAATTTATTGCTTAAGTTATTGTATACAATAATCAATTATTTGAAAGTCTTCAAGAACAAAGACTTAGCTGAAGAAGAACAACTCAAGTAATGATGGTAACCTCTAAGTTTTCATAAACTTATTTATCAAGACCAAAACCAATACAAATTGATATGATACATTTTAAATCTCTTATGAAGTAAAAAAATGATTTGACATCATCAAGAGGATTTGTACTTATATTGCAGAAAAGCTAAGCATATTACTCAATATTATTCAAAAAAGCAATGTAATCACAAAATAAGAAACATAATTGGCAAAGAAGTTTGGCCAACTACAATAGGGGCCATGCAGCTAAAATCATATGCAACACCTAATAAAGGTCCTATTCTTTCTTGAAATCCCTCATCTTGTTTTACAATAGATGTGTATTTAGGACCTAAAAATTACAAAGTCTTTATATTATGAGATTCAAGAGCCTCAGCCTATTTTATAGATGAAGACTTTGCTAAAAAATAAGAAATATCTTTATTTAAGTAAATTAAATCTATACATGTAGAAGTCAAAGGTGGTCATTTGTTATCTTTTGAAGATGTCATCCATGAGATTATTTCTTTAGATATAACAATTAAAAATCATAATAGTATAATAATATTTAATGTAATAAGATCTCTTTCTAATTCAATTATTTTAAAATTATTGTAGTTAAAAAAATATAACCTTCAAATAGATTAAATTTCTTGTAATCTTAAATCTAATTTAATTAAATTGTTCTTCTTTAGCCAAGTCTATAATCTCATTAATTAAGTAAAAATATATATGTCTAATATATCCAAACTCTTACTAGTAGATGTAAGAGCTTTCATGCATACTACAAAAGAAGGGTCATTTTTTGCTATATATACTATGTCTATTTGTGATGGTAGAAAAACATCAAGTAATATTTTTAGTCATTATCAAAATTTTTAGGATATTTTTTTAAAAAAATATAGATATTCTTCAGAGCATTGACCTTATGATTCTTCAATTGATTTATAAGAAAAAACTCAACTATCATTTGAATTGATCTACAACTTATTACAAAATAAGTTGGTTGCACTAAAAGAATACGTTGATGAAAATTTGGCTAAAAAATTCATATGCCATTCAAAATCTCTAGCAAGAACTCTTATCTTATTTGTAAAGTAAAAAGTTGGATCTCTATAGATGTACATATATTATTGAGGATTTAACAAGATCACCATCAAAAATAGGAATTTCCTACCTCTAATTTCAAGACTTCTTAATTAATTCAATTAAGCAAAGATCTATAGAAAAATAGATCTATAAAGAGCATACAACCTAGTTCACATTATAAAAAGAGATGAATGAACGACTACTTTTCAAACTAGAAGTAGACATTTCAAATATAATTTTATGTCTTTTAGATTCATAAATGCACAAATCACTTTTTAACATCTAATAAATAACATTTTTCTTGAGTTTCTTGATGATTTTTTTATCTATTATTTAGATGACATTTTAGTCTACTCTAAAAATATAGAAGAATATAAACTTCATATTTGTCATGTATTACCAATACTTAGAGATGCATGATTATATGCCAAAATCAAAAAGTATCTATTCCATACTACTTAAGTTGACTTTTTAAGATACATTATTTCTAATAAAGATCTAATGATGGATCCAAAGAAGGTCCAAATGAACAAAAATTGGGAGATTCTAAGAACAATAAGAGATATGTAATTCTTTTTGAAATTTGTCAATTAGTAGAAGATCTTCATCAAGATTTTTTTTCAAGTTGTGGCTCTTTTAATATATCTGATACATAAAGATAAACTTGAGTGGAGCAAAAAAGTTGAAAGAACATTTGAAGCCTTGAAGACAATATTTATTTTTGTACCAATTTTGTATCACATCAATTTTTCTAAGGCATTTTTTATGAAAACACATGCATCAAATCACCTCAAACCAATACTTAAAAGACCTCTTATTTGTTTGCTCTCAAGCCACCTTTTTATAATCAATCAAAGAACCTCAAAGTCATCATAGGTGTGTGGTTTTATACCTTAGGATGTGATTTTAACCTTGGTTTATAAGCAATCTTCTTCAAATATTATTTCTTTATATTTTTAGGTAATTTTTGCTAAAACATATTTTTAATTTTCTTCTAAATATGTCTATGTCATTACTTATTTTATTTACTTTAAATTTACCAATTTATGCTCCTACTAAGTAAATAGAAATCTCTTTTATAAAAAATAACATTAAGACTAAAGCTTTTACTAACTTCCTATTGTTTATTCTTATTTTTTTACTATATCTTTTTATTAGGTTATTTTTATAATAAAATACTTTCTTTCTTCTTTCACCTAATAGCTGTGTTATTATACAATACTACAAACTAGTTCTAAAGTACTTCTTTTTGGCATCTTGATTTTGCACTTCTATATTGGCATAGAAATTTAATGCTAAATATACTAAAACAAATCTTGTCCTAAGTTTTGATGCTACAAATAATATCTTATAGCAATAATAGGATTGTGATTTCAATATACATCAAGTAATATTCTAATGTAGTAGTATCTTGAAGTATAGTACTACAATCTAAGAATACAAAGAACAATAATCAAAAGCATAGCAACCTACAAAATTGAAGATTTTTTCTTTTTTTCTTTTTTTCTATTCCATTTTAATTTGTTATAACACAAGTTGAAGAAGAAAACATTCTTATTAAGTGAAAGATAGAAAATATAAATACTTCTAAATAAAGCTATCTTTTATACTACAAAAGAACAATCCAAGAATGTAAGAGTGTATAGAAAAAATCCTAAAAGCTTTAATATTAGGCCAATCACCAAAGCAAAGCAAAATCTTACTACAAAAGTTTTTTATTTTTCTTTCAAAACAACTCACAAGACTTAACTTGACATGAATGTCAAGTCGAAGAGATTTTGTCCCCTAAATCTTCAAACTCTAGTTGACACTATAAAAGCCAACTAATGAAAAAAGCTATGTAGATAAAAATCCACTAAACTAAACTAAATTACATACATCTAATGGGATTTGGCCTCTAATGCCATATCACGTGATAAGCATATTATTATTGTTATTATTTTTTTATGTTAAAATAAAAAGATATAATTTATAAAAATCTAATAACAAAATTTTAATGATTATAATAATAATATTTTTATTTTTATTTTTATATAAATATTATAATTATTAATGGTTGCATAATTTAAATTTAATAGAAAAATTAAAATTAGAATTTAAATATTTATATAATTATAATTATAATTATAAAAATAAATATATTTTAAAATATTTTATTATATTTATGTATTACAAATTTTAACACTAATTTTTATTTGATATATAAGATATTTTAATATTTTACAATATAATACTAAAATTTTATTGAGAGCATATTATATTTAATTAAATATAATTAAATTCTTTTTAAGAAATATTCCAAAAAAAAAATTATATAATATTTATCTTCCAATATATAAAGACATAACAACATAACTTATTTTAAATCTAATATTAATTTTATAATAAATACAAAATATTTGTAAAAAATAATATATCTTTATTGTTAATTATATCAATTATTTTATTATTTAACAAAATTTTATTTTATTATGTATCTTTGAATTTTACATATGATTATTTATTTATTTATAAGTATTATTAATAGATTTTTAAAATCTAGCTATTTAATTGTATTAAATTTAATAAAACCTATATTTTATTCTTAAGTAGGTTTCCCAAAGTTTGTCTAAGATTACATGTACATCCTTTTGTACAAAACCAATAATATACTCCATTCCATTATTTATAAATCTAAATATGTTTAGAAAATTGTGCCTTTTACATTTTTAAAAGAGGAGAATAAGTAGCTGAAGTTCAAGATATTCCCCAAGCTTCACTTCTCCTAATTTTAATAAAAGGCAATTTTTATGAAGATAAAACAAGAAGTTGAACATTGAAGAAAATCAAATCAAAGGTAACAAAAAAGTTTCAAAAGGACGTCAATAATTCTTTATTCACTGTTAGATCATTAATCATTGGTCCACTTGACTTTATACCCATCAATTCATGCACCCAATTCTCCTCATTCTTTGACACCCACAAATGAGTTGCCGTAGAGGTGATTACATGTCACTTTAGTAGAAGTCAAGCCACATGCAACAATTAACAACGCACTCCTCTTATATTGATAAAAACAATAAAGGAGGACCGACATGCAGTAGAAAATCAGCCAAGCTAAACACGTATAAATCACGTACAAGAGTCCTGAGGTGACCAGCTCATCTAGAATAATAAGAACATCATCTTCGCATATTGCATGTACGATAAAGTCATGAGGTCCCCACAAAGTGATCCACTCGGCCATAAGGTGGCAGCAGCAAATAAATTGACAGGATGACACAAATACCTTTGCACGAGTGATGATAAGTAGTCAATATATAAAATAGAATGACAAACAGAATGACATAGCAATTCAGGTGTTGAAAGGCTGAACACTACTGAACATTTTTCCCACACGATATTTAGCGAGTGAAAAAACTATACAAGAACAACTTCGTTTCCCTTGTCTCTAGTCATTCTAGCTAGAGCATCATCAGGAACTACATAAACAAACATTGATCAAGCAATTAATAAGCATGACAACTCCAACATTATTTCGGGGCGATACAATGACCATTACAGAAAAATGGGGGAATCCGATTCAAAAGTGCTAGTTGCACAACCATATGAAGCATAAGAAATCTATACAATACAGATTAAAAAACAGAGTTCTTCATACCCAAATAGAACAGGACAGCCCCGAAAAGAGAAAAGTTCTGCAAAAAAATCTCATTGATATGTCTAAGAGAATAATTCTTTCGACGGATTTTTAAAAAACACAATAGAAGGCCATAAAATGGAACCATATCTTATGCAAAATCACTCTCTGTGAATGAAGGACCTGCCAATTAAGTGGGACGCATTCTTCAACTGACTCATTACTATTGAGTGCACAAACACAAGCTTCCATAATTTTTTCACGACTGTCACAAAGACCATCCCGTTACTTCTTACTATAGAATCTTGTTTTCTGGTCATCATATTTCATGTATCCACAAAACTGAGCGCAAAATTGTCTGTTAGGACTGGATCTAGGGAAAGGAAGGGTCTATAAAGCACATACCTTCAAGAATGAGTTGAACTGGTGTAAGTAATCACCTGTTGCAATATCATAGTTGTAAAAGTCATGCATAATCGGTGTCACTAACGCAAGGAAGACAAGCTGCAATCACGAAACACAAACAATTACAGCAGTTAAATCCTGATCCCGTCAGGAGCAGAAAACGCATGTCAAATTTCATTCACAGAAGCTCGAGATATACTGTGAGACCTATTGAATCTTACATCCCTCTTTAATCTAATCTTACAAATTCTCCAATTTAATGTACCCGAGTTCTTTGCTAGGGGCCCTGAAAGAAAATCATCTTGATAATCCATCAATGAGCACGATTCCTAATGTGACCAGCACACCATTAACGGTCATCATGTCCCGCCTTTCTAACTCTGTAATGTGAGAGAATGTGAGAGGGAACGTAGGCCACAATATCCTCATCATGCACAAAATACTCATCCTTCAGAGGTAGATACTCACCAGTAAATACGCACCGAGGTTACTGTCTAAGATGAAAAGAAGACCACCCAGAGCCTCCAATTAAATGGCAACCATCAAACAAGTATTAGTCTGCAGCAATGACGTATTCAGTATATATTAGAGTATAAAATTGCACACTTCACTTGCCATCCCACATTCATAGCGCAATGAGACACGAATTACACACCCAACATGCATTGTAGTACAAATGCATGATATGAAATTATGGACCTAGGATCGCAACCCCTAAATGCCGATAACCATAGATAAAAAGCGAAACTGCAGGTACGTTGGCGAATATGATCAAAGCTGCTTTGAATGCCATTTGGGAGGGCCAAGTGCAAGTTGTGAGCATTGTTGACGTTGTTCAGAAACAACGGAAACTTAGTGTCTAGTGCCTTCAAAGCTGCACCCCCATCCTGACCGAAATCCTGGATTCTGAAGAAAGGCAGGACACAACCAATGTATAATTAGCTGCACATTAAGCCAATTCAAGTTTCGCCCTGGAAACCCTGCACCAAAGGCCACGCACACAGCTTCTGAGAAGTACGATACTTTAGTCACACCAGCTCAATCCTCCTACAACACAGTTGTTACTGAAAATATATATATAGTGTTTTCATCCCCTAGTATAAAAACCACTTCCAGTCACACACCTCAAACAAAACTTCCACCTCCTGTATCGATTAGGTGAGTCTCACGAGGCATATCACTCCCTATTTCTTTATGGATTATGACAGGAGTCGTGGCACTCACTGCTGCCATGAAGGCAAAACGAAGATGGCCGAGAAAGTGGTACGGCCCATGAACGACAGTAACCCCATGCTGATGTTGCTGCTGCTACCCCACCACTACAAATCCCCAAACGAGTTGAAACCTATGCTTCTCCCTCCTACAACTGGAGGTAAAACACACAAGCAGACGTGGCACTATGCATTAACTGCCCACTTACTGCACCTCGCCCTCCACCGTCTTCCTCACATCTGCACGTCCCAGATGCGCCTCCTGCTGCAGCAGTAGCAGCAGCCCTCTCTAGTGCCTCCTCCCACAAGGAACAAAAATCATGGAAAGGAGGAGAAAAGGCTCTTTTCGTTGCTCCACCCGTCGAAATGAGAATTTGTCAATACCATGTCAATACCCGATAATCCTGTGGGTCCCTCCCTCCCTCCTCCACATCCTCCTCCTCATGCCCACTCTCCCTCTGCTCACAAAGGACATTGCCTTGGAAAAGCACACTAGACGTGCCTTTCCTCGAGTCAAGTCTGCCTCTTTGCCTGCCCTCCCCACCCCCTCCCCTAGTCCTCCGAGCTTGAAGTCTTGTGTGGAATCTAGCAGTGAGTGAGATGGAAAGTAATTCAAGGGTGGGTACTTGTGTTTCTATGTGAATAAATGAGCAAAAAAGTGTTTCTTTTCATTCTTTTTGGAGAGTGAGTGAGGGCCCTCCACATTGCAATTGTTTCTGAATGTTTTTTTTACACAGTAGGTGTGTATGTGGCTATTAAGTCAATGAAAGTGATAAAAGAACCAAAAGATGGGTTATTATATTAAACTGTCAAATGAAAGTTTTGAAAAGAACAAAGAAATCAATGAAAAAGCATGTCATTGTAAAAATGATAAGAGAGTATAATCTCCTAGTTATATAGGAAAAAAATGGAGCATGATTTTTGTGAGATTTTTAATTAATAGCAAGAAGGAAGAGCATACAAGTCATGACTTTCATCTAAATTTTTCTTCTTTAGTTATATTTCTTTGATTTTAATAAGAAATAATCTAATTATAGATAAAATAAAAGATAATAGAATATAATATATTATTATTAAAGGAATCATCTTTATTTGGATTAAACATATAATACAAGTTCTTGACAACTTTTTTAATTCATTGTTGAAGTCTTAAATAACTTAATTTTTTTGAACTTTTTTTTGAATTTTTTTTCTTCTTATGAATTTCCTTATTAAGTATCTTTTATTATTAACAATAATAATTACTTGTATAATATGATATATATTTTTAATATATTTTTTAAAATATATATATATAAAAGATTTTTATTATAATGAAGAATCATTGAGCATAGTTTCTACAAGCTACAATAAGAAGATAGGATATGTTTAGATAAAATTTATTGAAATAATTATATATATATATATATATATATATATATATATATATCTGTGTATGTATTATGAGTAAATTTTATATATATATATATCTGTGTATGTATTATGAGTAAATTTTATAAGTTATTTAAATGTAGTTTAATAAAATTATTCAATTTAAGAGCTATTGTTTATTGAGTTCTTAGAAAAAACATTGAGATTATCATACCCTTCAAGATGAAATAATAGTATCACAAACATACACATATAAACCAATAATTACCTATATGATCAAATAAAAGTATGTAAAAGTATGTCAATTCCATAATATCTTTTGTAGAAGCTTCTTGAAAGCTTTATAGATGCTGCTTTGACTTTATAAGTGTCTATAATTGACTTTTTAGGTTAGAAACATGGTCAACAAATTGGTCATGTGCCACATATGTTAATAGCTTGAAGAACAAGCTAATTTTGTAGTTCACACATAGAAAACTTGTCTTGTAAGCTAAGGCATGTGTCTTGCAAAGTCAACACATATTAGAGGTCCTATAGAACATTGCCACATAATTCTTAATTTGATAGTATATATAGAGGTAAGAATGAAGCCTTCTTTACTCTTGTCAACTCCTTTCTTGTTTTTACTCTAGATTTAAGAGTTTCTAGTTTCCTTGTCTTTTAGCAATAGCCATTCCTATTTCTTTTTAATATATATATTATTTTATTATTATTTTGTTATTTTTTTTTAACACAAATTTTTTTAGTTTATGCATCTTCTTCCAAGAGTATACTTATAATATTAGAGCTTTGCCTTTTCTTGGTTAAGAGTAGATTACCCCCTTTTTTTGATAAGACATAAGCGTATTAGAAGTTGTGGATTACTGTCTTTTAAACTAATATTATTCTTAATATCTTCTTTATTCTCAAGTTCCCTCTTTTGCTTGTCTTGAGCAATATTAGATATTTATTTTCTAAGTGTTATTATGGCAGAGATTATTGAAATAAAAAGTGCAATGGTACAAATGTAAGAGCAATTGAAGGAGTTAATGCTTGTGATGCATTAACTCAGTTTACTACCAGAAGGAGCAATAAGAATGGTAGGAAGTGAAGATATAGATATGATTGAAGTTGCTTCAATATCTGCACCCAATTATGTTCCTTCTCCTATAGTGGAACATCCTTCCATTACTAAAGAACTAAGAGTTGCCCTGCTTGAAAAGTTTGATGGCACAAGATCCAAGTTTCAAAGATTTATTAATCAAGTACAACTTGTGATTGAACTTCAATCCTAAAGCTATCCAATTCCAGGATCACAAGTTAGATTGATTGGTACACTTCTTTCAAGTTCGGCATTATTCTAGTTTTCATCTTTTTTTGACTGACGAGATTCAATATTCGATAATTTGGAGGCTTTTTTAACAAAGTTTCAATGCATGTATAAATAACATGATACAATTCATGTTATAACTATTTAGATCTGTATTTCACAACAAGACAATCAATCCGTAATATTATATGCTTCACAATTTTGACAACTTACAACTAATATCAAGTGAGATAATTTTACATTTATTAGCTAATTTTTTTATGGATTACAATATGAGATAAAGAAATTGATGTTCAACTTACCTGATCTTTAAACATTGAGTCAAGCAATTGACTTTGCTGTGAAGTATGATAATTGACACATCACATTTTGATTTGAGAGTCAAACAAGTGGATCTCAACGTTATTATAATTCAATGGCAACATCAACGCCTCTTCAATACATATATTTTGAAATAAAAGATACGTAAATTGATACAATATATTTTAAATCTCTTACTAAAAAAGAAAAAACTTGTCATCATTAGAAAGGATTGTACTTATATTATGGAAAATCTAAGCACAATACTCAACATTGTCCAAAGAAGCAACACTATTGTAAAATGATGAGTATAAATGTCAAAGAAGACAATATATAGAAAAATAAGTTTATTCAATTGCAATAGGAACCATGTGGCTAAAATCTTATACAATACCTAATGAAGGTCCTATTATCTTTTCAAAATCTTCTCCTTGTTTTAGATTAAATATTATTTTAAGACCTATACATTACAAAGCCTCTGCCTTATTAGATTCAAGAGCCATAGTAAGTTTCTTAGATGAAGAATTTACTAAAAGACTTAGCATATCTTTAATAAGGAAAACTAAACATATTTAAATAGAAGTCATAGATGGTCATCCTTTGTCTTCTAGAGATGTTACTCATGAAATCTTTTCTATAGAAATAATAACCAATGGTCATAATAGCTTTGTGATATATAATATTATTAGATCTTCTTCTAATCCAATCATTTTAGGCTTATTGTGATTAGAAAAATACAACATTCAAGTAGATTTCTTATACTCTCAACTTTTCTAAAAGTATAATTAAGAGTATAGTTAATTAAGTAGAAAATCAAAAGTCTAATATTATTAAATCTTTATTTTTAGGTACAAGAATTTTTTTTATATGTTGCAAAAGAAGGATCACCTTAGGTCATTTATGCCACATCCAATTCTAATGGTACAAAGACTTCAAGTGGCATTCCAAGCCAATATTAATAATTTTAAGATATATTTGAGAAAAAGAAAGTGGATATTCTTTTAGAACATTATCTTTATGATTCTTCAATTGATCTTCAAGTAGGAGCACAATTGCCATTTGGACCAATCTATAATTTTTTCACAAAATGAGTTAACCAAATTCAAGGAGTATATTGAAGAGAATTTAGCCAAAAACTTCATATACCATTCCAAATCTCCAACAAGAGCTTCAATTCTATTTATAAAGAAAAAAGATGGATCATTACGGATGTGTGTTGATTATCAAGGATTCAATAAGATCACCATGAAGAATAGATATTCACTACCTTTATATCTAGACTTCTTGATTAGTTGAATCAAACTAAGATCTATACAAAAATAGATCTACAAAGAGCATATAATCTGATACACATCAAAGAAAGAAATGAATAGAAGATTGTGTTTTGAACCAGATACATACATTTTGAATATAATGCCATGCCTTTTGGACTTATAAATACACCAACAACTTTTCAACATCTTATGAATGATATTTTTTAAGAATTTTTGAATAATTTTATTATCTATTATTTAGAAAATATCTTAATTTATTTTAAAAATATAAAAAAATATGAATTTTATATTCGTCATGTGTTACAAAAATTAAAAAATATAAGATTCTATGCCAAGATAGAAAAGTGTATATTCTACACTATTCAAGTTGACTTCTTAAGTTACATCATTTCAAACAATAGATTTATGATGGATCTTAATAAAGTTTAAATTATTATGGATTGGAAGATTTCAAAAATGGTCCAAGATGTCTAATATTTTTTTTAGAATTTTCCAACTACTATTAGATCTTCATTAAGAACTTTTCTAAAATTGCAACTCTACTTACACGTTTGACTTATAAAGATAAACTTCAATAGAATCAAGAATCAGAAGCAATATTTGAAGCTTTAAAGATAGCCTTTATTTCTACACCAATCTTATATCGTGTTGACTTTTCTTAGATATTCTTTATAGAAACAGATGCATCGGGCTTTGTTTTGGGTGCAGTATTATCACAAATACAAATAGATGATAAATTTCATCTAGTAGCTTTTCATTCCAAAAAAATTTTAGTAGTTGAGATTAACTATGAGATCCATGATAAAGAGCTTCTTGCAATTGTGGATTCTTTTTAAGAATGGCATTATTATCTAAAAGACACTTGTAGTCTAGTCACTGTGTATACAAATCACAAGAATCTCTAATATTTCATTTTAGCTTATATTTTGAATCATTGCCAAGCTCGTTAGAGCATGTTTTTGTCAAGATTTGAATTCAATATCACTTATCGACTAGAAAAATAACAATATTTGTTTAATGTCTTATCTAGACATTCTTATCTTGTACCGAAAGGAGAAAATTTGTCTTTT